AATCTAGATGTCTTTATTGCAGTAATACAGAGAGAGCTGACTCTGGTCCCCACACCCTGCTAAACATCACACACACACACACCCTCAGAGTGTGTGTTACTGCTGAGAGACCCTCAGTGTGTGTGTCAGATGTCAGAGTGCTGCAGTAGTCGTGTGCACAGACACACATTAAACAGTTCATCAGTGCGTAACAAATCTCTAGAGTGGAGGAGGAGGAGGATGCTGGTGTGTGTGTGTGTGTGTGTGTCACACACCGAGCCTCTTCAGCAGCTCCTGCGCCTCCTGGTGGACCTGCAGAGGAGAAGCAGACATCAGCACAGGTGATCAATCAATCAGCACAGGTGCGGTGTGTGCTTCACCTGTCGGTCTTCCTCTGTGACTGCAGGATAGTCTCTGGCTTTGGTGAGCCACAGCGCCGCCTGCTGGACGTCCCGCAGCATCATGTAGGTCTTCCCCAGCATCAGCAGGTTCTTACTGTAGAAACTGGGCTCCACTGAACACAGAACACAGCACCGATCAATAACAGCCCATCAATAACAGCAGATCAATAACAGCAGACGAGGGTTCATACGAGACCTTCTTCAGCTCTCAGGAAGAACTCTAGAGCCTGAGGGAGACAGAAGAGGGAGATTTACCACAGTACACACCCCTGATCAAATCACCGATCAGTATTGATCAGCGCTGACACTAATAATCCCAGAATCCCCTTCACCGATCAGTATTGATCAGCGCTGACACTAATAATCCCAGAATCCCCTTCACCGATCAGTATTGATCAGCGCTGACACTAATAATCCCAGAATCCCCTTCACCGATCAGTATTGATCAGCGCTGACTCTAATAATCCCAGAATCCCCTTCACCGATCAGTATTGATCAGCGCTGACACTAATAATCCCAGAATCCCCTTCACTGATCAGTATTGATCAGCGCTGACTCTAATAATCCCAGAATCCCCTTCACCGATCAGTATTGATCAGCGCTGACTCTAATAATCCCAGAATCCCCTTCACCGATCAGTATTGATCAGTGCTGACTCTAATAATCCCAGAATCCCCTTCACCGATCAGTATTGATCAGCGCTGACACTAATAATCCCAGAATCCCCTTCACACCGATCAGTATTGATCAGCGCTGACACTAATAATCCCAGAATCCCCTTCACCGATCAGTATTGATCAGCGCTGACTCTAATAATCCCAGAATCCCCTTCACCGATCAGTATTGATCAGCGCTGACACTAATAATCCCAGAATCCCCTTCACTGATCAGTATTGATCAGCGCTGACTCTAATAATCCCAGAATCCCCTTCACCGATCAGTATTGATCAGCGCTGACTCTAATAATCCCAGAATCCCCTTCACCGATCAGTATTGATCAGTGCTGACTCTAATAATCCCAGAATCCCCTTCACCGATCAGTATTGATCAGCGCTGACACTAATAATCCCAGAATCCCCTTCACACCGATCAGTATTGATCAGCGCTGACACTAATAATCCCAGAATCCCCTTCACACCGATCAGTATTGATCAGCGCTGACACTAATAATCCCAGAATCCTCCACTGACCTCTTCATATGTGGCTGTTGGAGGAGAACCGAAGATCACCGCTGCCACCTTACGCTGATACCACGGCAACTCAGCGAAGGCAAAACACCTGCAGGACAGACACACGAGGACTGGAGAGACTGAGTGTGTGTGTGTGTGTGTGTGTGTGTGTGTGGGGGGGGGGGGGGTGGGGGGTGAGAGATGTGTGTGGTAGTGGAGACCAACCAGAAGCCCAGGATGTGTATAGACGTTGCATCCCGTGGGTTCAGCTGGATGGCCCTCTGTGGAGCGACAGTAAACAGTTTATTTCTCCAGTGTTTACCACATTGATGGGTTATTTACTTCACTGATGGGTTATTTACTGCACTGATGGGTTATTTACTGCACTGATGGGTTATTTACTGCACTGATGGGTTATTTACAGCACTGATGGGTTATTTACAGCACTGATGGGTTATTTACAGCACTGATGGGTTATTTACTGCACTGATGGGTTATTTACAGCACTGATGGGTTATTTACAGCACTGATGGGTTACTTACTGCACTGATGGGTTATTTACAGCACTGATGGGTTATTTACTGCACTGATGGGTTATTTACTGCACTGTTTTTACTGCACTGATGGGTTATTTACTGCACTGATGGGTTATTTACTGCACTGATGGGTTATTTACTGCACTGATGGGTTATTTACTGCACTGATGGGTTATTTACAGCACTGATGGGTTATTTACAGCACTGATGGGTTATTTACAGCACTGATGGGTTATTTACTGCACTGATGGGTTATTTACAGCACTGATGGGTTATTTACTGCACTGATGGGTTATTTACTGCACTGATGGGTTATTTACTGCACTGATGGGTTATTTACTGCACTGTTTTTACTGCACTGATGGGTTATTTACTGCACTGATGGGTTATTTACTGCACTGATGGGTTATTTACTGCACTGATGGGTTATTTACAGCACTGATGGGTTATTTACTGCACTGATGGGTTATTTACTGCACTGATGGGTTATTTACAGCACTGATGGGTTATTTACTGCACTGATGGGTTATTTACAGCACTGATGGGTTATTTACAGCACTGATGGGTTATTTACTGCACTGATGGGTTATTTACTGCACTGATGGGTTATTTACTGCACTGATGGGTTATTTACTTCACTGATGGGTTATTTACAGCACTGATGGGTTATTTACTGCACTGATGGGTTATTTACAGCACTGATGGGTTATTTACTGCACTGATGGGTTATTTACTGCACTGTATTTACTGCACTGATGGGTTATTTACTGCACTGATGGGTTATTTACTGCACTGATGGGTTATTTACTGCACTGATGGGTTATTTACAGCACTGATGGGTTATTTACAGCACTGATGGGTTATTTACAGCACTGATGGGTTATTTACTGCACTGATGGGTTATTTACAGCACTGATGGGTTATTTACAGCACTGTTTTTACTGCACTGATGGGTTATTTACTGCACTGATGGGTTATTTACTGCACTGATGGGTTATTTACTGCACTGATGGGTTATTTACAGCACTGATGGGTTATTTACTGCACTGATGGGTTATTTACTGCACTGATGGGTTATTTACTGCACTGATGGGTTATTTACAGCACTGATGGGTTATTTACTGCACTGATGGGTTATTTACAGCACTGATGGGTTATTTACTGCACTGATGGGTTATTTACTGCACTGTTTTTACTGCACTGATGGGTTATTTACTGCACTGATGGGTTATTTACTGCACTGATGGGTTATTTACTGCACTGATGGGTTATTTACAGCACTGATGGGTTATTTACAGCACTGATGGGTTATTTACAGCACTGATGGGTTATTTACTGCACTGATGGGTTATTTACTGCACTGATGGGTTATTTACAGCACTGATGGGTTATTTACTGCACTGATGGGTTATTTACAGCACTGATGGGTTATTTACATCACTGATGGGTTATTTACTGCACTGATGGGTTATTTACAGCACTGATGGGTTATTTACTGCACTGATGGGTTATTTACTGCACTGTTTTTACTGCACTGATGGGTTATTTACTGCACTGATGGGTTATTTACTGCACTGATGGGTTATTTACAGCACTGATGGGTTATTTACTGCACTGATGGGTTATTTACAGCACTGATGGGTTATTTACAGCACTGATGGGTTATTTACTGCACTGATGGGTTATTTACTGCACTGATGGGTTATTTACTTCACTGTTGGGTTATTTACAGCACTGATGGGTTATTTACTGCACTGATGGGTTATTTACAGCACTGATGGGTTATTTACTGCACTGATGGGTTATTTACAGCACTGATGGGTTATTTACTGCACTGATGGGTTATTTACAGCACTGATGGGTTATTTACAGCACTGATGGGTTATTTACTGCACTGATGGGTTATTTACTGCACTGATGGGTTATTTACTGCACTGATGGGTTATTTACAGCACTGATGGGTTATTTACTGCACTGATGGGTTATTTACTGCACTGATGGGTTATTTACTGCACTGATGGGTTATTTACTGCACTGATGGGTTATTTACTGCACTGATGGGTTATTTACTGCACTGTATTTACTGCACTGATGGGTTATTTACTGCACTGATGGGTTATTTACTGCACTGATGGGTTATTTACAGCACTGATGGGTTATTTACTGCACTGATGGGTTATTTACAGCACTGATGGGTTATTTACTGCACTGATGGGTTATTTACAGCACTGATGGGTTATTTACTGCACTGATGGGTTATTTACAGCACTGATGGGTTATTTACTGCACTGATGGGTTATTTACAGCACTGATGGGTTATTTACAGCACTGATGGGTTATTTACTGCACTGATGGGTTATTTACTGCACTGATGGGTTATTTACAGCACTGATGGGTTATTTACAGCACTGATGGGTTATTTACTGCACTGATGGGTTATTTACAGCACTGATGGGTTATTTACTGCACTGATGGGTTATTTACTGCACTGTATTTACTGCACTGATGGGTTATTTACAGCACTGATGGGTTATTTACTGCACTGATGGGTTATTTACAGCACTGATGGGTTATTTACTGCACTGATGGGTTATTTACAGCACTGTATTTACTGCACTGATGGGTTATTTACAGCACTGATGGGTTATTTACTGCACTGATGGGTTATTTACAGCACTGTATTTACTGCACTGATGGGTTATTTACAGCACTGATGGGTTATTTACTGCACTGTATTTACTGCACTGATGGGTTATTTACAGCACTGATGGGTTATTTACTGCACTGATGGGTTATTTACAGCACTGATGGGTTATTTACTGCACTGATGGGTTATTTACAGCACTGATGGGTTATTTACAGCACTGATGGGTTATTTACTGCACTGATGGGTTATTTACAGCACTGATGGGTTA